CCCAGATTGTTGGGGGCAATATGCTGACTCTCTGTAAACCGCTTAGAGAGGCCTGAAAGGCCTATGAAGCGGTATATAAGTCTACTGCTACATTTTATCACTATATTATGCAGCATCTCTATTGCAGCCTTAGCTTTTCGGTATCTAGAAAACTGTAACTGATGTATGACTTTTATTTTTTTTTAAAAGTTACCTTATTACAGTAGAGCATCCAAAGTTCATAAAGCCTCTCCCTGGATGCCATCCTACACACCCTCCTATTCGGTTGGGAAGTATCCTCTAATCAGGATCCATGCGTTCTCCGTTTCAGTTTAAACTATAGGCTTCAGTTCATGGACTCAACCAAAGAGGAACAGAATCAGTCTCTGATGCCACTGCACAGTTTTAAATAATGAAGTGTGACAATTTGCCCTTTCGTTTTCATTAATGGCACTTTGGAAAAATCTGTCCTCTTCCAAATGAAATTTAAGTTTGTTGATGGACACAGAATATGCAAAAAAAATAATAATAAAGGAAAATTCTTCAACTCTATACTATAAAAACCATGAGTCCCAAGAGACTCCAAGGAATGTTCTTGTGGCTTGATTAAATGTCAGTATAATCTCCTTTAATTTCAGGTCTTCAGCATCTTTCCAATTGTGATATCCTGGGATGCTTAGTAGTTGTTAGCAATAACAGAAGATGTCTTTTTTTAATTCTCCAATAAGGCAAACAACATGATGGGACACCTGCCAAAAAAGAAAAAAAGACTGTCAATAAAAAATAAATGCCTGCGTTTGGAAACATAAGCTCAATTTCAATCACTCCAACGGCTATCCTAATTATATGAGTGTTGACTTGCTTTATTTCTTGAAGGGAAGATGCAAATCAAAGACACCTTGGAACAATCTTTTTTCCCCTCCACGGAAGGCTCAGTACTTTTACACCGTGTGTCTAATAATAATGCTTTCCTTTTGATGCTGAATGCTAAACTTCAAGGAAAGAGACTCCCCTTCCAAGCTTCAAACGCTGATGAACAAAATGAGAAGGTCAACTGATTGCAAACAGGATAACTCTCCTGCTTGTAGGCACAAGTGCAATTCCTTACACTCTTCCAAAAGTAAATCATGGGAAAGCCAATCTAGCGTTTCGGTTTCCAAAGGTTTACCCACCGGGTTTTTCCTCCCAAATGCTTCCTCTCGATCCAACCCACCCTCGCCACCGCTTTTTTTTTCTTTTTTTTTAAATAAATTTTTATTTTAAACACATAAACACATCAACAAAAGCAAACACATGACTTAAAACAACATAGGAACAAGAAGTTCCATCGTATATCCTACAGCAGTTCCGTATCGGTTTCTTTGCAGTTAAGTGTTTTCCCTCCTATACATTTCTTATCTTGCATTCATGGTCTCCTTACTCGTTATCCATTTTTATGTACTATTCTATATTTATTTATACTTAGCTATTTACAACCAAATATTGTTTACCTATATTGTGCTTTATATTCTTACTATNATATGCTGACTCTGTAAACCGCTTAGAGAGGGCCTATGAAGCGGTATATAAGTCTAACTGCTATTGCTATCCTGTACATCCTGCATTATGTTCTTCCAAGGAATTGCTGAAGAACTGAAAATCAAGCACTTTGTTGCTTGTTTCAGCACAATTAAGATAGAACTTGAACTGATTTTCAAATTTTTAACCCATTTCAAATGTTTCTCCGAAACATTTTCTTTAGAAATCATGTTACAAGATGCAACTGATTGCATCTTTATTGATGGGAAACTCTAATCCAGGGGAGCTTTCTATCAGAAGGGTGAGGGAAACGAATTTTGGCTGTTTTACTGTCAGTGCAATTTCAACTGGGAGATTTTGGAAGTTACGGAAATTTGGAGTGAAGAGAAAGACTTAACGCAGAATTGCTTCCCGCACTGTTCCATTGATGGAAACCTCCATCAGCTTCAGCTGAATTCTATTACTTGAATATAAATATGTTAGCAATTGGAATCAAAATGAATCATGATAATTCATTCATATTATATTCTCTTTCTGAAATGTTCTCTGTCCATCTCTCTGTCTTTGTCCTCTTTCCAGAATGAGTATCTTTGTATCTCTGTTTCTATCTTTCGAGGTCAAAGACCTTGCATCTGGCTGGTTGAATATGCCTGGCATGGTATACAGCTGGCTAAGGGTTAAGTAGCTTCGTAAAAGAACATCCAAAATAATAATAATAAAAGTTTTTAGAAGCTAGTCTCTGTTTCTTTCTCTCTTTTTCTTCCCAGATTATTCATAACTAAAACATATAATGTTAATTTACTCATTAAAATTAGTGGCAGCAGAGAAAGGCTGCACAAAAAGGTTTAGAGATCTAGATACGTTTCATCTGCAATTTGTGTTCTGTACATTTTAGTTTGTAGAAGAAAGATTCATTCAATGATGGTTTCAGTCACTACGTGTTCAAAGGTCTAAGGATTTATAGGATAGAAGAATACTAGAATATCTAGTATCGGATTTCCTTTTCCATCTCTGCACCTCCTGTAGTTTGATCTTTCACAGATCAGAAATCTGGTATGAGATAGGCCAAATTGAAGTATGCCGAAGAACAGGAAATGGAAGGTTGCAGATATGGAAAAAATTAGGTTGTCTGACCCTATCTCATCCCGAAGTGAAAGATCTATGATTTCAGTTGAATCCCCTCCAACTGCAAACTGCACTAGATCCTTTTAAGGCACCCTCCCCCACAAAAAAAGATGTGATAACATAAATGTCTCTTGATTCACTTCTACAGTTTGCAGACAGGCGGTATCTTAAAAGTCCTTAGATTCCTCTATAACTCTTTATCAAAAATATTTCTTTGGGAATATCTGGAAGCAGAAATGCACTTAAGGATATTTCTTTGGTAAGGAGTTTCATTGTCTAAAGTGCTACAAATATTTGACCTTAAGTTAGGCAAGTCCAGGACATTTTTAATCATTGTTTTTTTTAAAAAAAAAAACATAGGCCTATACTATTCTTTTAGATAAACATTTTTTTAAGAGAAATGAAAATTTGATCCTTGATGCTTTGTTTGTAGCTTTCCGAGTTAAAGAAAAACCTCTCCAATATGAAGTCTGAACTTCAGGAAGCTCTCCAGCGAGCGAACGCAGCCCTCAGCAATGAACAGCAAGCTAAACGGGACTGTCAGGAGCAAGTATGGTTCTCAAATGTTTGGCTAACTTTTGCAGTCGAATTAAGTATTGATTAAATTGGTTAAATGGTTAAGAGTCACTTTTGCATGTCGGTAATAAGTGTGCACCAATTACGAAGAAGGCATTCTAACACTAATGTTTCCATCTCGCAGAAGACGCTTTAAAATTAAAGGCTCTGTTATGGTTGCTGTTCTGTGATGTGGAATGATGTTTTTTTTTTTCCTTGAGAGTCTGAAAGAGATTTATTTATTTATTTTATTTTAAACACATCAACACATCAACAAAAACAAATACATGACTTAAGACAACATAGGAACAAGAAGTTCCATCATATATCCAACAGCAGTTCCATATCGGTTTCTTTACAGTTAGTGTTTTCCCTTCTATACATTTCTATCTTGCATTCATGATCCTCTTATTCATTATCCACTTTTATGTACTATTCTGTATTTATTTATACCTAGCTATTTATAACCAAATATTGTTTACCTATATTGTGTTATATGTTCTTACTCTCATTTATTCTCTTACATACAATTATAGGTATACATTCACATAGTTATTCTTTTTCTTTGCCATTCTTATACTTTTGTTATTCCATTTAAGAGGTTATAATATACAGTTTGGGTTGCTTTGTTTACCATCCCTAGCACCTGTTGTAACACCACCTTATTTTCCCTTTCTTTTTTCCCTCCCTTCTCTACTTCCTTCCTTCCTCCTCTCCTTCCCCTTCTTTCTTCCCTTACCTCTCCACTACTCTTACCCTCTCTCTTCCCCTTCCTACCTTCTCTCCTTCTCTTTCTCTCCCATCCTCCCTCCTCTCCTTCTCTTTCTCTCCCTTCCACCCACCTCTCCTTACCTCTTTCTTCTTCCCTTACCTCTCCTCCACTCTTACTCTTCCTTTCCTACTATCTCTCCTTCTCTTTCTCTCCTTTCCACCCTCCTCTCCTTTCCCTTCCTTCTTCCCTCCCTTCACTACTTCCTTCCTCCTCTCCTCCCTTCTTCCCTCCCTTTCTTTTTCTATTGTTATAGGTGTCTCTTTCAAATCTCCATTTATGTTTTCTTGGGGATGGTATTTCCACAAACCCTTATAGTTTCATATCATTTCCTTTTTTTCTCCTGAAAGAGATTTAGTACATCAGCTTTTATTTCCACCCGCAGATCCTTAATAAATCAACAGGGGGCTTTTTTCACCACCCATTATGTTTTCATACACATAAGTCAACGGTTAGCCAGCAAGTATAAATCTCTTACTTAGGAAACAACCTTAAGGAAACGAAAGCATTGGATTTGTCACAAACTCTGAAGCAATGATAATTCTGGCTTCTTGTAGGCAAAGATAGCTGCTGAAGCGCAGAGTAAATATGAACGGGAGCTGATGCTTCATTCTTCTGACGTTGAAGCTTTACAAGCTGTCAAGGAGCAAGTTGCAACGAATTCAGCAATAAAGCAGCAATTAGAGGAAGCAGCGCAAAAGGCAGAATCCACGTTGCGGGAGAGCAAAGCTTCATGGGAAGAACGAGAAAGAGCGTTAAAGGTGAAGGGTGTTTTGTTTTCTTTTTCCTTTTTGCCTCTAGCAATCTGGCAGGTTTTATGACCCGGCCTAGTCTTTGAATTTCAAGTTTATTTGTCGAAGCGTCTGTTTTGGTCTTCTCTCCTAGGATGAAGCTTCTAAGCTTGCATCTCGCTGTCAGGACTTAGAGAAACAAAGCCAGCTGTTGCACGAACAGCTGGAAACTCTGAGCAACAAGATGATGGCTTCAATGAAGGAAGGCGGCTCAGGGGCCCTGAATGTGTCTCTCAGCGAAGAAGGAAAGTCACAAGAGCAAATGGTAGAAATTATCAGGTATTGTTGAGTTCATTGTATTGATCCAGTACAGTTTTGATTACTGCTTGCATGGTACCTGGTATGCATACCTGTTCTGACCCCCCTCGTTCCACACCAAAGCACACTCCGAGCCAAAGATAAGTTACGGCATTTAATTAACAGACAAAACAGGTCCTTGGCAGCAAACCGGCACAGACAAGCTTGGGCAGCAATAAACACAGATAAGGCTTGGCAGCATTCCAGCTGCCAAGCTTCTAACAATGTTCTCCTACATTCATTCCTGCATTGACTTTTGCAAGAAGGGCGTGTGCACAAGCAGTCTTTTTATAGTCTGGAGAGGAGCCTAATGACCACCAGC